TTTGCTCGTCGCAGCTCAGGTCACATGGAGTTCTGCCACGATCGTCCAGTACATCAACAGTGGTCCTGCAGGCTCGTACCAGTACCCTGGAAAATCATGGAGAAATGAAGAGAAAATGCACATCGATTGAAGAAAAAATGAATCGAGAAATTGAGAGAAACAAGAATAAACCGAGAATTACTTTGCTGAAGCGACATGGCCAGAAGCGACGGCGATATGGAGAGGTGTTCGACCTTCACCATCTCTGGCTAGCGGGTCGAATTCCCGACTATATGGCAAATTCCTCCTATAATTTAGGAAAAAATTTAAAACAATCCTTTTTAAAAGGCGACGAAAACGCACCTCCAAGACAATACATGTTCGATGACTTTGTGGTAATTCAGAGCAGCGGCAATATGTAATATAGTCCTGGATGGAAGTGTTGGATGTGCTGATAATAGGCTCGGCAATGTAAGACGCTTTCCAGACAGGTTATGAAGCAATGAAAGGACAGAATCTTCATTGATAGATGCGACCCACTAGAAACATGCCTATACATAAAAAGCTTTTTAGCAACTCCGCTTACCTGCAAATTCTCCATAGCTCCGAAAGCATGGACTATGAGATGCAGCCTATCAACCATGCACTGTCGTAGCGCTACCATGGTACATTCCTCGGGTTCTTCATTGTACGTAAATTCACTACTCGTAGAGATCACTTGTCCATTGCAGAGTACCCGAACGGGAATGATACCGGTGGCTGACGCTGGAACGGGTGTATAAGGACAACATCTATGGAAGGAATCTGTCAGAGTAAATGGATTACCTGGAGGTAAAATGACGGAAAGCACCCCAACTTGGATCAATCTAGCAGGTACACGCCGTTCGCCAAAAACAACCGTATACTCGTGGCCCTTCATGTACCAGCCTCCAACTACCAACACCTTCGTTCCACCCTACAATATGATGCTTAACCCACATAGGGCTTGGTTCCTGATCATCTCTTACAAGTCTCGATTGATTTTTTAGCAACAGATAGATGAAAATTTCAAAATAAATGTATTAAAAAAGTCCAACATACTGATTGCAAAATTAAACACGTTTTTTTGAGAAAGCAGGAAAACACTAACCTTAACAGATCCAGAATTGGGAGTGATGTCCGTAATTGGCGTCAAACTCGCAGATACCTGTGTATCTGGTGGATACGATGAGGCCGACGCTGCTTGTGATGGTTGGATACTGGTAGACTAAAATTGCTATGATTAGCGAAGTCGCTGGCAAAAATTAAAACTACCATGTCTTCGTCTTGGTTGCTACTCCGATGAGTTTCTCCAGAATGAGATCGACCATCTGCAGGATAACTGCTGAGCATTTCTCGTAGCGGGGCACCATCCATCACACCATTCATTGTTGATGCACCTGTACGAAAAAAAAAAATCAAAAAAAAAATAGAAAAAAATGATTGAGATGTAGCAAAAGACGCACCTCCGTAAGTGACATCTACAGAATCACTGAAGGTGGATGGTTGCCTTCGAAGGATCAGGGATGACAAGCCAGGTCGGAACGCCGAGCTGCATGAATTTCTTCGTTCTAGGTGATGCGACGATCCTTGAGACGAATGAGACGTTACTTGATTCGGCTGAGCAGCACCCGTGGGTAATCCCTGGGTCTGGAAAATGGATGTTACTTCTGGATACTGTACTCATGTCGATATCTTCGGTAGAAGATAGACTGAGATGGACCAAACAAGAATAACTTACCGTTGTTTCAGAATCAAGTTGCCTTGGAGGTGAAAACCTGAGATTAGTGCAGAGTTTCTCGCATATGTAGGCAATATCTTGCTGACTCAGTAAGTTGGCATCTATAAAGCTCACTTTAGAGTAAAAACACCATTCACGAAATCCATTTCATAAACTTCCGGACGCATAAACTTTTCGCGCGCATATACTGCGTATGGCGTGCATTGTTTCCGTGGATACTCAAATCGCGCGCAACCATGAACGACTTTTTCGCGCCTAGCCGCAAGAAAGTTGTTCATAGTCAGCGTCTTCAGCACTATAAAGATCTTACGCTGCGAAGGCACATCATCGAATATTTCCAAAAAAATAAGAACAGTAGCCAAAAGTCAAACTTACAAATTGGTGAGACTTGATCGATGAGCTGTTGCTGAGTGAGATTAAGGCTATTGAGTTTCAAGCATGCCGAGATCTTATCCATGATGCTCTTCAAGTCGGTTTCGGTCTCGGTGTTAAGATAATGTACAAGGACGTAGTCCGAATTCTGGAATGAAACTGGTTTGGTGATTTCATCGAATTTAAGGGCAGTGGCTCGGCAGAATTTCGTTCTCCAGTTTTTCGCCTTTTCGGGACCTTCTCGCCATGAGGA